AACTGGAATTAATCTGAATTGAAAGCACTCTGAATAGAAAATCTGTATATACTTGATTATACTTATAAGCAAATTAAGCCTAAATGATAAAATTAACAAAAAAGAATACATATTTTTTACAAGAATATATCAATAATTATATAAATACTTAATTAGACTCATAACAAATTTAACCCGAATTGGCATGATTTAAAGGTTGACCTAAATCGAAAATTAACTGATCCGATATTGACCCGATTCGAAAATCAATCGATTTGATATTGATCCGATCCGAAATCTAATCGATCTGATATTAAACCGACCCAAAAAGGCAACTGATCCGATATTAATTCGAATCGAAAAATAACCCGATCCAAGAATCACTATATCCGAAAACTGACCCACCCAAAATTGACCTGACCATATACCCGACCGACCCGATTTATCATACACCCGAACTAAATCTGAACCAAATCAAATCTGACCTAAATAAAATTAAACGAATATAATCTAAACTCAAAATGATTCGACCTACACCATATCCGAATAACTAGTTTGCCACCTCTCTAGTCAATAGCCCAAAGCCTCCGTCTCAACCAATTCTTTCAATGATTCGTTGGCTTCGCTCCTTAAAAAAAGTTACATTTTTATTAAAAAAATTGCTACGTTTTTTTTATAGAAAACAAAAAACAACCCAAGCCATTGTATAATAATTTCCAGGGAAAAGAGTAATTTTGAGGAGCAGGAAAATGTAGAATTATATAAATTTAGCGATGGCGGTTGTTCGAAGTAAGAAGTCCTCCTAAATTCGTTCAGATTTGTCCACAGAGAGAGAGAGAACAAAGGGAAAGGGAGATAGTTACACGATGCTAACAATGGGCAACAGCACTTGTTTGTCTCCCTGCGTCTCTTTGTCCCCCTGCGACTCTTTGTCCCCATCTCTTTCTCCTCATCCCAAGTTCCCCAACCCCAACCCTAATTCATTCCTCCTTTCCCATCCGCCTTTTGCTCCCATTTCCCTCCGGTCAAACCAAACCCCTTCCCGTTTCAAGAAGCTCCTCTCCCCAAATGCCCCCAACTGCTTCGTAATTCTCCATACCGTTCGCTTATTACTTCCTGTTTCAATCTGTTTGTGGGTTTTGTTTGCTTACTTTTTTTTCATATCGTGGATGATGGCAGGTTGTCGCGTCGGCTAAGGGAGAGCTGTTGAAGGTTATCATATCAGGGGCTCCGGCTTCTGGTAAAGGTACCCAATGCGAGCTCATCACCCAAAAAGTAATCTCTCTCTCTCTCTCTCTCTTTATTTTTAACTTTATGCATTGATTTTTTGTTTCTCAATTGAAGTTAAACTTTTAAATCATAATTCAATGTATTTGTTTGTTCAGTATGGTTTGGTGCATATTTCTGCCGGGGATTTATTGAGAGCAGAAATTGCCAGCGCTAGTGAAAACGGGAAGCTAGCAAAGGAATACATGGAGAAAGGGCAATTAGTCCCAAACGAAATTGTTGCTATGGTAGGGAAGATATTGTTCAGTTTATATAGAACGCTTTTCCTATTCATGAATCCTATAGTTTTTGGTATTAGATGGTCAAGGAGCGTCTTCTGCAACCTGATTCTCAACAAAGGGGTTGGCTTTTAGATGGATATCCTAGGAGCTCATCACAGGCAGCTGCTCTCGAGGATTATGGGATCCGTCCTGATGTTTTCATTTTGTTGGATGTAAAAATGGTTTATTGCACTTTTAATTGATCAACCTCTTCGACTGTTATTCGTTTCTTTTTTTTAGTTTTCAAATATAGGTGTCTAAAGCCATTCTAGTTTAACATGTCCAACTTGTTTGCAGGTTTCTGAAGACATTCTTGTTGAGAGAGTGGTTGGTCGAAGGTTGGACCCTCTTACCGGGAAGATATACCACTTGAAATATTCACCCCCGCAGAATGACGAAATTGCATCCAGGCTTACACAACGATTTGATGATACTGAAGAGAAGGCATGTCTGATATTCCTTGCTTGATTGCTTTCGGTTGGGATTATATGTTTGAATTATTTTGGGATTCTTCTTCTTTTGTAGTAGTGACCTTTTGTTTGATTGACAAATTATATTCTCTTATTTGCATTTTGCAGGTGAAGTTGCGGCTGCGCACACATCATGAAAATGTGGACGATGTGCTTTCTGTATATAAAGATATCACAGTCGAGGCATGCTAAATTCTTTCTCTATGGCCTAACTGATTTAACTTAAAGCTTGTGTAGGTTCATGCGGATAAAGACGAGAAAATGAAAATTTTGAGTCACACATGTTTTGTTTTATAATTAACAGAGGTTCAAAAGTTAGTCGTCCTAAATTAAAAGCCAAACTCTTTGGCTTGTTTTATTTTTAGTTTTTGAAACCACATCTGATAAGATCAAGTTAGACTATTAAAACGCAAGCTTCCAATTTCCTAGGCATTTAATCAAAAGTTATTGGAGATAGCTATAAAAGTTTCTTGAAGTACTATTGCTATTTATGATGGCAAAAAGTCAACATCAGAAATACTCTTGCCTGACGAACCAAGTAGAATTCAAATTGTCTAAGCATGATGATACACATGAGTTGGTTATTTGTCAACATGAACCGGTATCCACATAAAATATCGTTTTCTCGTGTGTTAATTTGTTTCAAAGAATTAAAATGAGCTATATTCTGAGAATTAAAATGAAAAGACGAAGGGTTAATGAAAGGTATTATCATGAAATATACAGGATGCCTTATTGTTTGAGACAATTCCAAAGCTGAGGCTATATTCTGCTAAATTCAAAATTTGACAGGAAAACTGGTTTTATGGATCTTTAAAGTTCAATTATCTTAAATCATTCTGTTTGATGAGAATATATTGTTCGATTTTCAGGTTAATGGAAATGTGGCGAAGGAAAATGTGTTTGAACAAATTGATGCTGCTCTTACACATGTAGCTGAGCAAAGGAAGGTGAATTCTGGATCTCTAGCTGCATAAATGAAAAATATATTTAAGAGATTGTTTCTTGGTGGTTCCCATCAACTAATGATATCCCATAATTCACATTATATACTTGGATTTGTGTTATACGGTAAGTAGTTTGATTTTCTTTTTTGTCTTTTTCTTGGGATTGAGGAATAGGAGTTTTAGATTCAACACCGAGCTTATGATCTTGAGATGCTTATTAAAAATTCCCATCTGTTATCATCAATTCTTTATACTTGAAAAGGAAAATTACCTCATCCACCCCACAAAAAATAACTGTATGCGGAAGATTTGGTATAATACTATATTTCTCCTATATTTATTGAGAAATAATTACTATAATGTCTTTTTTTTTCAATTTATTTCTTTGTTTTCGAATAAAAATGAAAAAAAAGGTATTTGTATTGAGTTGGTTACCACAGAACAGAATTCTGCCTTTTGGGGGTGATTTGAAATCCCCACGAAGAGGACAGTGTAAGTGGATGGTTGGCCTATAATCGTAGTTATTTAAAACTTTTCGTGATTCAGTAGTATAATTGATGTTAAAATTGGAAAAATTAAAAATTTACTGGCGTGAGTGATGTATAACTTAAAACTAAGGGGTGTTTGAGGTAATTTATCTTAAATTCGATTATTTTTTAAAATATGTTTTTAAAAATGAGTTTATTTATTTTTAAAACTCCAATCGAGCCACATCAACGCACCATATGTTTCAGGTTTACATTTCCCGGTACCATCACCCCACACACACACAATATTAAACCAAAATCACCTCGTAGAACTTCTCAGCTATCATTAATATGTAATTTAAGTTAGTTCTTAATGGATGATGGATAATTGCATGTTGATTTATTGCTCATTTTAGTTTTAATTTAATCAAATTTGACTTCTGATCAACTAATTTAATGTTTTAATTTAGATTTATGAGTTAGTGAAATTATAAGTGTTGCACAAAATACGAGCATCCATTTCTTCATTTTCAGCTTCCTTTGCTTTCTTCTAATTATGGAGGATTAAAAATAGAGAAAAAAGCGTTAGTGACCGAAAATGTCTTATAATATACGATTTTAATCAACTTTTTTTTGATTTGCCAAAATGACCAACAAAATCGCAACGCGATATCAAAACCGCAACGCGATTTAGAAAAGCGCAACGTTGAAAAGAAGATCGCAACGCGATCTTCCAAGAATCGCAATGCGATTCATAAAATCGCAACGCGATTCATAAAATCGCAACGCGATCTTCCAAGAATCGCAACGCGATTCAGAAAATCGCAACGCGATTCCAAGAATCGCAACGCGATCTTCCAAGAATCGCAACGCGATTCTCTTAATCGTATTGCGATTCTTGGAATATCGCGTTGCGATTTTCTTTTGACCGTTGCGATTTCTTTTCAACGTTGCGATTTTCTAAATCGCGTTGCGATTTTGTTGGTCATTTTCGCAAATCACAAAAAAGTTGGTTAAAATCGTATATTATAAGTCATTTTCGGTCACTGACGCTTTTTTCTCTTAAAAATATTGCATTTAAAGTATTATTAAGATTTTGTAATTTTATTTTCACCTTCTGTAGTCTTACCCAAAACTGTATAAGATTAAACATATATCAAAAATTAAAATTTCCTTTTTAACAAAGATTGCGCTGCAGTCGGCACCTGAAAAAGAAAAAATATGAGCAAACAAGTGCATAGACAGTGAAATAAAATAAAAAATGTTGAATACAAGAAGATGTAATCCATTTCCAGCGTCAGCAGCAGTTTCTTTGAATGCATGCGTTTGTCCAATAATCCCTCCCGACCTTGTAAAACTTGAGATGGGTCAACATGGTTTTCGTTCAAATGAAGAGACTTTTGTCTAGGGCATTCCTCAAAGATCGTGCGAGCTTCAAGGGCAAACCTTACTGATAGCATTTCAATAGGTTGAATGATTGTCAAAATAATTTTGGTTAATCACACTCCACTATAAAAACAACAATTCCGATGAGACCAACCATACATTCAATAGTCAATAATTGTGTACCTATCCCCTAACCTATCAAATATGAAGAGCTTGATGCTAATGTTTGTGTTCCTTATGTTCCTTCCGGTTAACGCCTTCCGTCCGACCCTTCTAGGCAACCTGAACCTGATAGAGAGAACTTGCAGGCAAACACCCTTCTATGATATTTGCATTTGGTCCCTGAAATCGAGTCCCGAAAGCCGTAACGCCAACCTCAAGAAGCTAGCTCAAATCATGGTGGACTCACTCAAAACTCGAGCAACGGAGACACTCTATCTCATCGAAGAGCTACTCCATGACGGGCTTGCGCTCGACCCTGCAATGAAGAAGGCCTTGACATCTTGCATTGAGCGCTATAACGTGATCATAAAAGGAGATGTCCACGAAATCAACGAAGCTTTCAAAACGGGTAACTACAAATTCGCAGAGAAAGGCTCCAATGATGCAGCCATGGAGGCCAACTCTTGTGAGATCGAGTTCCCTGCTAAATCACCGTTAACTGATATGAACAAAGTGGTGCACGATGTATCCGTTGTCGCAGCTTCCATTGTCAAAATAATGCAAACTAAGTTTTCCGTAATGTGATCAAGATTTCGATCTTGATGTTTGATCCTCATCAATCAAATAAATTCTACTTTAGTAGTAACCAATTTTCTTGTCACTTCTGACTTTTAATTGATGTGGCCATTGTGTTTTCGATTTATCAATAAAATAAATAATTTATACAGAATTCCAAGAGCTGATGTTTAGTTAATGAAATAAATAATTTATACAGTGAGAATGCACGCTGATAGATGGGGTGGATACTCTCCAATACGAATCGAGTCCACCTACGTGGATAGTGCCCTGGCCCCGGCACTTTGTGGTGAAATCATGATGCCTGATAGGCCCCGATGGGATTTCCATAGAGTTCACGCGGTTTTTCAATATGTCGATGCTACTGCCATCATGAACTACCTGATTGCATCGGTTTCCTACGACGTTATGGTGTGGAGCGAACACTCTTCCAGAGTTTATTCGGTGCGTTCGGGTTATTTTCATCTCTTACGTCAACAATGTACAATCGTTCCCTCTATCCCGATGTGGTTATCTATGTCTCAATTATCTATCCCCCCGCCCCAAGATTTGACTGCTTGGGTGGCGCGCGATTCATGAGGCACTTTTGGTGTGTCGTCGTCTTCAATTGGAAGGAATGTTTGATGGTCGATGTACGATGTGTGGTTTGGGGGACGGCACTAGCCTCCATGTTCTTAGGGACTGTGCTGATACAACCCAGATTTTGCATGCATCGGATTTAGTGCTTCAGCGTTTTTTTGCTCCTTGAACATCCTGCGGCGCATGGTTGCATTCTTTGCTAGGCCTCTTAACTATTGACCAGTTCCGGTTGCTCATTGTGGTGATGTATAATGTGTGGCATCGAAGAAATGTTATTGTTCATGATGGCCGACTGTTTCCGGGCTAGTATGTAGTTCTCTCTAGTCGTGTATTGCCTGCGTCATTTGCAGGTAGCACGACTTTTAGGAACATCAATGACCTCGATTGGGTCTCATGTGGATCATTGGATGAAGCCTTCAGTGCTAATGCTCAAGATTAACGTTGATGTCGTATGTCCGATCTTGGTCGGTAATCCTGCGGTTGGAGGCCATCAAGGATTGGTGGTGGCGTGTCAAGCCATCCCAGTTGCTGGCCAATCTGATGCAAACATAATCGAGGCGGAGGCCATTCTCTCTGCCATTCGCATGGCTGTGGGGCTGAATCATCCTAATGTATGTGTTGAGAACGATGCTGCGAATGTTGTACGCCGATTGAATTTCCAGCAGGTTTACATGTCTACTCTTGGATTTGGTTTTTTTTGGCTCAATGCCGCAGCCGGGCGAATTATTTGGCCCAATAGGGCACCCAGTAATTATTTTGGGATCTACAGTATTTTCTATAGTTTAGGGCGAAATAGTCATGGGATATATATTTTTTTTATTCTGAGCCCAATATTTTAATATTTTCTTTAGAACTCGTCACCTCGAGGTGTCGAGTTCCATAATTTTTTTCAAGATTATTAAGTGAATTAATATTTTTAAAAAACTCGAAACTCGTCACCTCGAGGTGATGAGTTATACCATATTTTTTGGCTCTAAAATATGTGATAGACTATTCTGAAAAGAAAAAAACTACAAACTTAGTACATTAACATGAGGACGTAAATAGGACTATTCTTACGAACACCATAAATATTAAATAAAATCATCAATATAGCAGTATTGATTAAGAAGTTTTAGCTTTCATAATCAGCAGACTCGTCAGAAATAAGATTAAGTTCTTCAATTCCCCATTCTTTTTGTTGTTGTCGTTCGCGTACGAATTGGAATCATTCTTCTGGGTCTCCATCATCTATGTTTTTTCTTGGTCATTTGTCTGAGTTGGTGGGATATTCGAGCCAGAAGCAACATCCTTAATGATACGAGCAAAATCGAGATCATCGAACTCTAAAAACAAATTGATATTAAACAAAGAGTGTTAGAAATATGTCAATAATGCCATCAAGGTTTACATCATTGCTTAGATGAAACCTTATGCATGATACTGAAAATTTATAATATATGGAAGATACTCTTCCATTGCTTCCGAGTGGAACTCTTGTTTCTATATTGGACTTCAACTTGTGTAGTTGGATATTTTTTGGGAAACACATGGTTATAGATTTGCAATCGTAAAAAACAGTTGCATAAAGAGTTGACATGTTTGAAATAAAACTCAAGCTTTGGAAGTGAAAGATTGAAGGTGTTATAGTTTTTTTACCTTCAATGTCATAGTTAAATGGCTTTCAACATATTAATAGTTGCTGAAGATGTTAATACACCCCTATTTCACTCGTTTTCTGAACAGTTGCTTGAATTATGCCTTAAATGGCATCCGAAATGTAGCTGAAACGATGCATTATTACTGCAATAAATGACATCTGAAAAATAATTGAAATGATGCATTATTACTGCAATAAATGATCTCTGAAAAGTAGTTGAAGTAGTGAATAGTTAAAATACATTTTTTTTATGATTTGAAGTGACAATTTAATACTGGAAAGTTTTATGATTTGAGTTATATACCATTGAGAAGTTGCAAAAGATGATAATGCAACACTATTTTCACCCGTTTTTTGAATAGTTTGAATTTTCATTAAATGGCCTCTGAAAAGTAGCTGAAATAGTGCATTCTTGCCGCAATAAACGACCTCTGAGAAGTAGTTGAAATGGTGCAATAAATGACCTCTAAAAAGTAGCTGAAGCATTAAATAATTTGACCTGGTTAAAATACACATTTTTTATGATTTGAAGTGACAATTCAACATTGAAAAGTTTTCTAATTTAAGTTGATATATCACTGAGAAGTTGCAGAAGATGATAATGCAACATTATTTTCACCCGTTTTCTTCAATTATGTAGTAAATTACCTCTGAAAAATAACTGAAAATGTACATTATTGTTGCGATAAATGACATCTGAAAAATAGCTTAAAGTAGTTGAAAGATTGAAGATTGAGATGACATTTCACTAGGGATTTATTGGATGGTATTTGTTTTAAATTTGCTCACTTTTGATGAATCTTCACAAGCCTTGTTATTTTGCTGCAATTGTTTTGAACAAGCTAAAACCAATCTCTCTGTGAAGCTATAACAAACAAGTTTTTCGCATTCGTCCACCCAAATTACCAAGTTGTTGAAGCTGAAGATGGTGTTCTGTTCATGTCAGAGTCTCGTGAACATGATGTTCCCGACAAATGTAACTCATGGGCAAATGAAGATGAAAATCAAAAACAAAATTAGAGCTTCTATTTCAAGTTTGAGATATCAACACATCAACACATCATTTTAGAGGCTCTACTGAAATATAGAACAATGTGCTCGACGACGACGACAATGTAGTTGTCATGGTTGATCTTCATCAATCTTTCAGTAATCAGATGATTCAAATTATTGTCAAAACTATATATGTTCCTACTTCCTCAACTGTTGCATCAGTGACTGCAGAAGCATGACCATCAAAAGATATAGATAACCTCGTCGAGCGATTCGGTGCAATCCTTGTTGATTTTAGCGATGATGATACTTTTGTTCCGCTTATGATAGATGATGACAAACCAATAATCGATTAATCTGATATCGCCGAGGCTGCTTCAGAGGGATAAGCCTGTGACATAGAGGGTGATGTCTGGGAGGTAGTCGTTCCTTGTGGCTATGCAATGTAGAATTCTCTGCTAGTTTGGGCACATCCACCAACAACCATGCAAGCAGAAAGTCTGCACCCTCAGATGCCTTAATATCGTCATGTAGTTGCAATGCATGAGATAAACTATGATGTCATGAGGAATCCTGAGATTCTTTATATGCCCGATACATGCGCAGCCCATTGGGGGACCTCGGATGAAGGATCGACGGAGCTTGGAGTTGGGTCACAGTTTGGGAGTAAGAAAGATGCGCAACTGGCTGTGAAGGAGTTTTGTATAAAAGCTCATAAAGAATTCACCGTTGTGGAGTCTGACCAGAAGACATATTTATTCAGATGTATTAACAACAAACGTCAACTATAAGTGGATGATACATACCTCGTTCCTACAATGAAAGATGTTGTGGAAAGTTACAAGGTTCCACAATCAACATAATTGCACGTTAAGCTCCTACACTCAAGACCACAAGCACTTAGACTCCGATGTCGTATGTGCTTACGTGAAGCTACTTGTCGAGAAAAATCCGAGGATCCTATCATCAATGATCGTGGCATCAATACATAATACATTTGGTTATATTACGTCTTATTACAAGTCTTGGATGGACAAACGGAAATCTATGACATTACTCTACGGTGATTGGGATCATTCGTACAATGAGATGCCCCATCTGTTGCACGTGATGGAATATTTCATCCTAGGGATCATTGTTCGCTCCTACACTTGTCTTGCAACCATATTTGATGTATAAGTTATCTTTGGGAAGAGCGCTTTCGGAGATTTGTTATGGGCTTTCAAGTTACAAATTAAAGGCTTTTGTTACTGCAAACAGATGGTTTAAGTGGATGAAACTTTTCTGTACGGCTTATACAAGCACATCCTTATGGTAGTTGTTGCATAAGATGGTGACAGAAACATCTTCCCCATTGACTTCGCCATTATTCTTAATTTCTTTCTGTCAAACTTGGTTTATCCAAATGTACTAATCAATCTCAGCAACCCATTTTGTAGTCCTAGGAAATTCTGTAAATGTTTATTTTCAGTAACGTAGTTCTCTAAGGATGTTGGTCCTTATTTGATGAGGTTTAGCGCTGGCTGTTGCAGGTCTATTGCAACCCTCTTTTATCTGGGCTTGGGATTGGCAGTGCAAGCACATGCGGTGTTCTTTAGGACTAAGACTTGTTATTTGGGTCGCAGTTTTCTAGAATCAATTTTGTGCTTGATCCAATTTAGTAGATTCAATATTAATGGTGAATGATTTTCTACGTAATTTCAATATAGATAAGCTTAGCAATGTGCTTTATGGCCTTTTAAGAATTAAGAATAACGGTTGCTAAAATTGATGATTGAGCATTGTGGAATAGGATTGACAAGTATGGTTAACTGCAA